TCAGCCAGGGGCAAAGACTATGTCTCAACTATGATAGCTTTGGTAACTTGAGTATGAATCCTTAAGACTTAACAATGGATCCTCTTCCAGCAAAGAATTTAAAAGCTTAAATTATCTTGATTTGAATATGCTTTTAATGCCTCTTTTCTAAGGATCTCTCTAACTGTGCAGATTCTTCAATATTTAAATTTATCTTTTAGGAGGGACTTCAGACAATTCAGGGATGTTATGTTTCCTTTTAAACAATAGCTATTTATTATTAACAACATTCCAATTTCTGAGGTGATAAAAAAATCTTTGCTGTGTTTTGAGATGATTAGAACAACTTGTGAGTTCTTGGTTCAATCTTCCTCAGATATAATCTTAGGAGAATTAATTCTATGTAGATAACTGGGAGACAGGTTAAACACCTGAATTATCAACACATACCACGACTACTGCGACTTTTCTGAAAATCATCAGAAAGTTTTAAGGCTGAGCGGAAATGATTTCTCTCAAGTGAAAATTGGTTAATCTTATTTCCTGTAGGGCACTACTATTGGCAATAATAATTAATAATAATAATAGATGGTGCAATGTATGACACACACTTTGAAAGGCAATTCATTATGGAATTCCAATAGAGTATGAAAGTTGTAGATTAGCTAGTACTTAGTGTATACTGTAAAAATGAATTCTTTCTCTACAGCAACAATCTAAAGAAAAGATAAATTTTCCCAGACGTAAAGTGATGCCTAAGATACGGCTGATGATTTTATTTTCAACGTGTCACTTCTCTTTCCTCAGGAGAGAGAGAGGAAAAAAAAACCCACTAAGAAACCCTCAGCAACTATTTCTGGGATTCTTAAAAGGAGTAGGAGGACGGTGCCGGCTCTTACTCTTTCAGCATCGATTTTCTTCACAATCTGTGATATGGCTTCTCAGAAATGAGGCTTGGCAGTCCTGATAATTCCATGTGTTTTCAAACTTAACCCACCCAGACTACACAGTTCAGTATTTTCAGCTCCTTTCATTTTCCTTTTCCCTTTAATTATAGAAGTCTCTCTTCCCTCTTCTTGCAAATGTGGTCAAGAAACACACCAAAGGGCTCCTATTTGTAGCAAGGACACACATGTGTTTGTTGTTGTTTCAGCATTCCCATTCTTACACCTGTCACCCCGGTGTGATCGATGACACTGGGTGTACGAGGGGCGACCCCTCGAAGGCTAGTTACATCTCCCTGAACCCTGCTGCTTGCCTTTGACTCGGGGCAGGTGGCACAAGCCAGGCGATCGGGGAGGAAGAAGAAAAAGAAAAGCGAGTAAACACTCTAATTTTAAACTTGCACCGTGAAGCACTTTCAAAATAGGAAGAGTCGAGCTTCACACCGGCGTTTCTTTCCCTCTCGAGTCCAGTCCCGGGGGGAGGGGAGGGCTGCAGCCCCGCTGGGTGTCCGGGGTGCAAGGCGGGCCGCAGCCGGCCGGGGGTGGGGGGGTGTCCGGGGTGAGCGGCGGGCCGCAGCCGGCCGGGGGTGGGGGGTCCGGGGTGCGCGGCGGGCCGCAGCCGGCCGGGGGGGGGGTCCGGGGTGCGCGGCGGGCCGCAGCCGGCCGGGGGTGGGGGTGGGGGGTCCGGGGTGTGCGGCGGGCCGCAGCCGGCCGGGGGGGGGGGTCCGGGGTGCGCGGCGGGCCGCAGCCGGCCGGGGGGGGGGTCCGGGGTGCGCGGCGGGCCGCAGCCGGCCGGGGTGGCGTGGGGAGGGGTGCGCGGCGGGCCGCAGCCGGCCGGGGGGGGGGGGTCCGGGGTGCGCGGCGGGCCGCAGCCGGCCGGGGTGGCGTGGGGAGGGGTCTGGGGCGCCTGGCGAGCCGGCCCGGCCCGGACGCCGCGCCGCAGCGCCCGCAGCTCCGCGCGCCCCGCTCGGCCTCGCACGCACGGACACACGCGCGCGCACACGGACGCACACACACACACCCCCCCCTCAGTTCCAAAGAAAACTTCCCGCGGCCGAAATGAACCTCCCTTCCCGGCTCCAACCGCTCCTCTCCCGCCGGCAGAAAACGTGAGGTGGACGGTGACTTCTGTGGAGTGTGCGTGTGTGTGCGTGTGTGCGGCGGGGTTCGCGGAGGGGAGCGGGTTACCTGGCCTCGGCCGCGGGGGCGGGGTCCGGGAGGTGGGGGAGGGGCGGCGGGCTCGGGGGGGGGGGGCGGGGCGGGGGCGCCGCGGCCCGCAGAGAAAGAGAGAGGGAGGGAGAGAGCGCGAGCGCCGAGAGCCAGAGGGAGAGCGCGCTGGGCGCGAAGGCGGGCGCGCGTCGCGGAGCTGCCGGGCAGCCGCGGCGGCGGCGGCACTTGTCCTGTAATCGATTGCCGAGCGCGCCGAGCGGCTGAGCGCGCAGACACGCGCCCACGCGCTCGCCGAGCTTTCCCTCCCGCCCGCGCGCGCGCGCGCACACACCCCCTCACATCTATACATACATACATACACCGCCCCCCCCCGCCCCCGCGCGTACGCGCGCACCCACCTCACTCACTCGCACCGGCGCCTCGGCCGCCCCCTCCTCCCCCGTCCCTCGCCTTTCCTCGCACGCGCACGCGCGCGCACGTTCGCGCCCGCCGGCTCTCTCGCTCGTGCCCGAGTGTGTGAGTCTGTGTGAGGTGAGGGTGGGGGTAGGGAGGCGGGGGTGAGCCCGGCGCCCTCAGCCCCCGCCGCCGCCTCCCACCCGCCCTCCGCCCGCGGGCGTCTGCGCGAGCCCGGCCGGCGGGGGAGAGATGTGCTCGGGCTCCGCCGGATCGGTTTCTCGGGGTTTGACCAGCTGTCCCGGGCTAACCCTGCTCCTCGCTGAAGATGGAGGAAGTAAAAACAGGATTACCCTTAGCTACAGATCCACTGCCTTAGTTTCCACCACCCACTGCAGTGCACAAACACACGCTAGGCACAGGAAAGACAGAAGGAACAGAGAGAGACAGACAGACAGAGGACACACTAACAGTAAACACAAACAAAAGGGTGATGGGATTGTTTTACTGCATGCACTGCTGAGGTAAATCTCCGCTTGGCTCCCCCTTCTTTTTTCTTTCTTTCTCTTCTTTTTCTCTCCTGTTCCTGGCGTGGGGAAGGACAGCTCGGTGGCGTTGGCTTCGGATTCCCGGCCGATTCTGTGCATTTGTGGATGGGTTTGCGAGCGGGAGGCTGGGGCGGGGGGGGGGGGGGCAGTGTTTTCAAAGTTAAGTGTAATTAATGTGGCATCGCGATTTTGCTCTGTGATGTGATCAAATGACTTGTTGCTGTTAACCAGTAGGAAGAATAATAATAGTAGTAGTAATGACAGAGGGTGGGTGTTTTTTTTTTTTTTTTTTGCTTTTGCTTTTTTTTTCCTTTGGGAGGGATGGGTTGTGATTCTGATTAGGATCATGATTTCTGGTTAAAGGACGCTCAGGGAAATCGGGTTGAAGATGATGTCCTCTTCCTTCGTGTGTATCATCCTCCGCCTCTCCTGGTCATCTGTTTCTGGGATGTGAATCGATTAGTCAGTTCTCATCGGTGTAGCTGTCATGGATTTAGACTTGTTTTTGCTTTGTTTTAACTTGAATTCCAAGAAGAAAGATCGGATAACCTGGCATAAATTGCAGCTGTCTAGATAGAAGGTAGAAATGCAGATCCTATTGGGATTAACACACACACACATACACACACTAAAAAAACCTGGTATGACACATGTAAAAAGGCAGCAGTTAAATCACTTTGACAGGCTCTGGTATGGGCGAGAGCGATGGAATTAAGATTTAATTTTATTTCTTTAATTTTTTTCTTTTTCTTTCTTTCTTCTTCTTCTTTTTTTTTTTTGCCAGAGGCCAAAAGCAGTCCTGTGAAGTTGGCCTGGGTTCCCTGGCTGGGTTCTGCCTGACTGTCCCTCCCCTCCTACCCCCCCCCCCCCTTTTTTTTTCCTTTCAGTTTTCTTGTCTTAGCTTTTGGTCGATTCTTAAGGAACCGGTGGATCAAGTTTTTTCTCTTCTTGTTAATCGCATTGCTGTGGCACTGACTGACCTCTCTCTCTCTCCCTCTCCCTCCCTTTCTCTGTCTCTCTTTTTTCCTCTTTCCTGAAAGTACGTGGTGCCATTCCTGAGTGACTTTTCCTACTAGACCATCCCCAAGGGACGAGGGGGAGGGGGAGGAGGAGTAAGAGGAGGAGGAGGAGGAGGAGGAGGAGGAGGAGGAGGAGGAGGAGGAGGAGGAGGAAGAAGAGAAGAAGAACAAGAAGAAGTAGAAGAAGAAGGGGGGGTGTGTTTCTTCTCCCTGATTCCTTGGTTTTGTTTATCAGCCGATCTGTTTGCTGGGTTGGGGCTCGGAATGACCCACCTGTAAAGTGCTTTTTCCTTCCTCCTCGCCTTGAACTCTGCAGGGGGCTTGGCTTGGAGGGGGCAAAGGAGGGAAAGAGAGAAAGGGGGAACCCAAGAAACTTCTTTCTTTCCCTCTCCGCGTATCTTCAGCACGACATTGTCACCTCCCTCTTGGAGGGGTTAGAAGAAGCTGAGATCTCCCGACAGAGCTGGAAATGGTGATGAATCTTTTTTAATCACAGGACAATTTCTTTTGTATGTACATTTGTTTCTCTTTCTCCTTTTTCCTTTCTTTCCTTCTCCGAGGGTTAATAACCATTTCATTGATGGGGCAGACTTCTTTCGCTTCTCCCTGACGTTTCTTTCTTTTTGATCTGTGTGTGTTAAATGTGTACATTTTTAAAGAGATAAGCTCAATTGTGCGTGGTTTTTAAAAAAAAATCTCTATAAAGAAACTGCTCCCCTTTGGAAACTTTACGGATCCCTTTCTTGAATGCCTTATGTAATCATAATTGAAAGAATTTGATAACCATACAGCAGGTTGAAATTTAAGTGTTATGTAGTGACTGAGTTAGGAATTTGATCTGATTATTCCATGAAGGAAGAAAGTTTTTTTTGGGGGGGGGGTGTTAGGGAGAGTGGTGGTGAAGAAGGGGAGGGGAGGGAGAAGGGAAGTGGTTTTGGAGACAAGAAGTGAAGCTGCCTGTTTTCCAGTAAGTAATGGAGAAATTCCAGGAGCCAGGGCTAAATATACTTGGCGATCAATACAGAAATGGCTCATTGTGAATAATTTAGCTGCTGGGGCAGTGAGAGTTTTGCAACTAAAGGCAAAAAGGACCGGGGCCAAAGGGGGGAAAATAAGTAAAAATTCTCTTCAAGACTTGTCAGTTCTTAAACTTTTTCCTTCACAGAATACAGTTAGATTATTGATCTTTTCATCATGTGAATCAAAGCTAGGGGGGTGTCATCTCATGCAATTTACTTTTGTTTCTGAGAATTAAGTTCTGTTTTGTGTCACTCATGCATGAAAATCATCTCCCCAACTTGGAGGGGGAAAAAGTGATTCCTTCCTACACAGCCAAAAGTTTCTGAAATTCTCAAAATCGGAATGCATTAAGTAGATTTGGCATTCCTGTCCAACCAGGGTCTGGCAGGAAATTAAACTTACACTAGACAGGTGCTTACACAGAACTTGGGGTAGGAAGGGGAAAAAAAAAGGTCAATTTTTTTTCAAGTCAGACTTGGCCAACTGCTTCCGAGTCTTCAAGACAGAGTTGGGCACTAAGTTTTTTGTTTTGTTTTGTTTTCTTATATTTGTTTGTTCTCCCCCTCCCCGTTAGAACATGATGAACCAACTTGCAACAATTGTGAATAGAGCTATCTGTATACTGGGAAGTCCTCAAACTGTAGTGTGATTGTAGGAAGTGGTGAATGGTTAAAAACTACTTAAATCCTGGTGGAAGGTGGCAAATTTCAGGTCTACCCTTCCCATATTTTTAATTTTTCCTCTAAAACAAGTACATTTTGATGAGCAGAGCCCTTCCTTTCTTGCCCCAGCCCATCTCACAGCACACTTACCTTCCCTATCCTATCTCAGCAGGAATCAGATCATTTGCAGAAAGAGTTCAGTGACTTGCAAATGAGCACATACAGTACACTAGTGGTATGGTTCTTGGGCACAGGTTGCAGTAACAACCTTCACTAACTGCTTGGAGTTTCAAATAAGTTAAGAATTTAATGGCGTATCGGGAAAGGAATCATTGTGTGAAGGGTTTAATCTTTTGTCTTGCAGTACTGCACTTTGACTATGGAAACAGAGACTATTGATGGCTACCTAACATGTAAGTATTCATTTTTATTAATTTGTTATTGTAATGTTAGCTTCATATCACTTATATTTTAATGTCTGAATCAAAAGATTTTACTAAGCATTTCGTACTCTTATTCATAATTTTACTTTAAATGAGTTTGAGGGAACAACTGCACAGAAGCAAAATAAGAAATTGTAAAATTAAGGGGAGTATTGAAATCACTCGTGGCTTAGCATAGAAACACTTTTCTACTTGACTGTTTTTTCCAGTTACTTTAAATTTAAAATATGTTAGGCTATGTGTATATCTACTGGTGTGGTGTGTATGACATTTTTGCTACTCTGTAACCTAATTTTTCTGGATGCATAATGTGAAAGAATTAGCTTCAAACATGTGTGTATGTGTGTGTGTGTGTGTGTGTGTGTGTATGTGTACACTACCATACTCTCTTCTTCAAACCTCTAGCTTTCTAATAGCGTTTTGGAAAATTCTCATTATAGAAACTTTATATTAAATATTTAAAGCACATGTTAAAACTTACCTTTTTTAACTAAAAGATACTTTATGTATTAATTTCCTTCTCTTTGACAATGTAAGAGTGTGTTAGGCAGTAAATTCATGTGCTTTTGTGTGTTTTTTGTTTGTTTTTTAGTTGTGACTTTCTGTCATTTCATTCATTTACTATGTATTTGTAAGAAGTATTTCTTTATGGCTTCTGTGAGGGAGAAAATTGTTTTACTAAAAAACCTGGTCAATGCATGCCACTGTGTGAATGCAGAAAATGTAGTAATTAGATTTTATGTTATGATGAGTAGAAACCAAAAGGTATTCTTTTGTGAAAACAGGTGACAATGAGCTTTCACCTGAAAGGGAGCACTCCAACATGGCAATTGACCTCACCTCAAGCACACCCAATGGACAGCATGCCTCTCCAAGTCACATGACAAGCAGTAAGTCTGCATTTTATGATTTTTTCCCTATATCTCTAGAGACAGATTTGAATTTGGTTAGATCTGTGGGGTCTGCTCACATTGTGTTATAGCTACTGCTATAGATTTTGCTAAAGAAAGAACAATACCAATTTATTCCTGTTCTTTCAAAGTGAGATAAAACATGAGTCTGCTTACTAGTGTGAACTATCCCAAGGTGGCATTTGGGAGCTGGTGCTTACCTGTATCAGGTAAGAAATGTCAGGCTTTGCTGATGGTTGTTTTGTCAGGTTTTTGTCTGAATTTGTTTCTGTTGTTGGGTGAAAAATATGGAAACATGTCACTTGCACATGACTATTAGTATGTTAGAAAAAAATGAATTTTGTATTGTCTTTATACAAAACTAAACAATCAGTGGTAAAATTTAGTGGCACTTCCTCCTTTAAAAAAAAGACATGATTTTTTTCCTCTAAAGCATTGGAAGTAAAGCATAATTGACTATTTATGGAACTCATTTATATCCATTTCTTTAACAGTGTTGAGAGCCTTTTGTTTAAGATTGTCCAGAAAGGACTGAAAAAATTTAGAAGCCTGATTTTGGCTTGCAGGAATAGATAGTTTGGGCTGCTATTTTTGATAAAGGGTCATTCATTGGTGTAGTAGTATAACATGTTTGTGAAATAAAAAGAAAAATGTATATTCTGTGACAGAAGATAAAATACTCTTATTTATTAAGACTATAGTTTGTCTTCTCTTAATTAAAATGTTTTTATCAAACTAGTTAACAAGCACAAGTGCTTTCTTATTCCTACTCAAAGCAATTTACTTCATACTTTGGTATGGATTATATTCTTATATAGAAAAGATGTCTGATTTATATGCAGATTTTTTAAGTTTGAAACTTTTCTATTTGAGGTTATATGTGAAATAAATATATTTTTTCCTATTTTTTGGAGCTTTAACAATTAAAAAAACTGAATTATGTACTTGGTTAGGAGAATACTTTGATTTTCCTAGAGAACTTTTCCTTTCCATTTACCTCTCTTACAGCCCAACCTAAGTAACTGTAAATGCACAAGCTGTGTAATTAATAAAGACTGAACTACAAGCAAAGTATAAAAACTACTCTTGAACTCATTTTGCAATTCATTAACTTTCAGTAATTTTAGCTATTTCCTTGAAATCATGATTGAACTCATTGAACTTACTTTATTTAAAACCTTTCTTTTTATGAATGGGAAACCTGAAAATTTCATCCTAGATGCAGTCCTTTAAATTCCTTTATCATGTAGAAAGGACAAGCTTATATAATTATTGAGTGAATATATGCCGCAGTATACAGATAATCTCTTAAGAGCGAATAGATCGTGCCATTAATCTTGTGGATCTTTTAGCATTAATTTATCATTTTTCTTGATTTGATAAGTTATACTATTGTACTGTACACAATAGTTGCATTTGATACTGAGACATTAATAGAATATGTTTTTATATCTCAGAGACTTTTCCATATAATGTCATAATGAGTTAAGATTGATTTTTGTGCGGTTTCTATTGGTTAAATATTTAGTTATTGGCTTTAGAAACATACAGTAGTGTGTAATTTAGAGACTTGATTCTCAATTCCTGCCAGCACTAGAACGCCATCAGAAAAATGCTTGTTAATTAGTTTCCTCTTGTATTTGTGAATTTGATTCTGCTTTTCTAAGTACTTGCTTCAGAAAGGCAGGTCAATCATCTTCTGATAATAAATAATGAAAAGTATAGGCATAATTAATGGGAACAAATAAGAACATTTGGACAGCAAAGCTTTTTTCACCCAACAACAGCGAACTTAGGTTTGGTAAAGAGTTTGTTGTTGTTGTTGTTGTTTTGAGTTACTAGCTTGTAGCAGTTCCATATTAGTACCATTTTTGGCTAAACTGCAAGTGTTTTCAAGTTCTTTTTCAAGGAGTTGCAGGTTAAATATTTTGGCTCTTACTTTAGAGCTGTCTATTGCATCCTTTATGTAGCCTCTATTTACAGTATCTAGGTTACCCACTTAGGTGTTAGATGGAGAAGATACCCATTTTTCCTCTCTGTTAGATCTAGGCGAATATCAGCATTTTAGATTGGCTAAGCAAATAGAGTTAGAGGGGCTCTTGTCTGTTAACTAGAACAGGGATCTAGAATTAGTTAGGCAGATTTTTTATTGTTGTTGTGACTTGGAATTATGTTGGGGTTTATAGGACCTGAAAAATCACTTGTGTCTGAGATTACTGGTTTTGCTTACTCCTTTTCACACTCACACAGTTGCCTTTATTAAGTGAAAATAATGTATTTTCTACACTTCAACAATATCTTCAAATATACCTCCTGGAGGTATATACTGCTTGCAAAAGGGAATTGTGATTAAAGCCAAAAGTAAATGTGAATAGAATAAGGTAGTTTCTCGTAGCAGGAAGGAGAGGTCTATGTGTGGAGGGAAAAGAGTTATTTGAAACTAGTTCAGAAGAAAATAAAATGAGTAAAAACCTTTGACTTTTTAAGCTGATATTCTGGCCATAAGATTTTTATGGATAGAATGAGCAATGTATAATAGCCCATTTATTTTGGCTTTAGGAAAGTGGACAGTATTACTATCAGGTCCCAAACATTTGTTTTGGGTATTTTTTTGACTAGTCTAAGATGAAGGACATCTGTACAACTTGCTCCCAGCTATTGTGTAAAAAAAAAAATGACAGCAGCTATCATTATTTGACATTGCTAGAATAGAGTATTGGTGACTTGGAAGAGAGCTGAAAATGTTATAATGCCTGACAGTTTGGGGTTTTAAAATTCAGTGTGTTAGATAACTAACCTTCAAAGAAGAGGTATTAGTGGTCTTAACATTGTATAATGACTACTTCTTAAGTTTTAGAACATGTTTTCTTATAGAACTTTTGACTTTTTCTTCTTGAATGAAGAGCTCTTTGAGAAGAGGTTGGGCACTATTGCCAGAGATCATTAGTGTCCATATTGAGTTTGCTGACAATGTTCCGTGTCAGAGATGACAGCATATGCCTTGATGGCTACTGGAAATACACAGTGTTAAGTGATTTTAAAAATAGAATTCTGGAGGTTAAGAATCTGAGATAGACAGCTCAGACAGAACAATATAAAAATAATTCATATTGTGTTTCGGGTCATAAGATGAAGCTTACTCTGTGATTCCTTGTGTTTGTGAGTTAGCTTATTTTCAGTTCTTGTATAGATGCTTCAATATCAGTTTGAAGCTGTTCTTCATCTGGAGATCACTATTTTGAAAATGTTTTAAAGTTTAAAATTTGTAAATAATCATAATTGTCTTACACCTACTTTTATAGTGCCAATAAGTCACTATTCTTTGTAGGTATAGTTATTTCAATAGTATTTAAAAAGTATATCCTGACACAGAATTTGTTTCCATTGCTTTAAAATTCTTATGTGGATCAACTGTGCAGTCACTATTATTTATCAGTTGTTTGATGGCCAGGTGGCATGTAGGGAATTGGAAAAGCAGTAATTCTAGTTTTGCAAGACTCTGACCAGTAATCAGGTCAGAGAATCTTAGTGTATTCTTTTCATAGTACTTCACCTTCATTTTTTTTTCTTTCCTACTTTCCATTTTTAGAGCCTTGAGAAGCCAAAATGTATTATGATTTCTGTTTCTCATAGGTGGAAATGGAGGATTAAAGAAACCAATTGACTTCACTGGTGTCTTAGCAGAAAGACCATGTTCACAGGGTTGGGACAAAAAGCTGGGATATTCTCTTGTGGATTAGATAACTGGTGTCTCAACAATGCCATCCTCTGAAGGCATCTGCTGTGTTGAACACAGACCGATGTTTTATTGACAAAAAATAGTATTAAAGAAATTGCAGTGTTGTTAGGAGGGTGGAGTGATATCAGATAATCTTGTCAAGCCTTGTTCTAATGCTCTTTTCAAAATACAGCTTATATTATAGGACTCACTGGCTTTCTGAGTTGTCTTCTATAGCTTAGTTTGGCAGTCACTCTTGGTTGGATTTCCATGGACACACCCTAATATAACACCAGATGGAGTTGATGTAAGATCTGGCTCTGTTTGGAATCATAGTGATTTGATTTGTACTTTACATTTAGTTCTTATTGAAAAATTAAAACAACAGCGAAGTTTGATTAGTCTCCTTCACAGCTATCAGAATATGTCATGATGATTGTGTATCAAAAGAAAAAGAAAGGAAAAAAGGAAACTTAATGGAAGTCTACATTTATGTAAGTAATCAACAGCATAATGCTACATTTTTTTGATCCTCCTTCCAGAAATGACCACTGTCTTTTTAGGGTGCTTAGAAGTGAGGTCTGTCTTAAAAAAACAAACAAAAACAAAACAAGCAATGTACTATAAGTTATTCTCATCTGTATTTGTCAAAATCTGTCTTTCCTGATATAAGTACTTCTGTAACATAATAGATTAGATTCTATTGGTATTCTTTCAGTAAGCTATAATGAATTAAGATCTCTATATGCAATATTCTTCTCTCTTCTAGCTTAGGATACATTGATATGTACATAAATATATATGTATACATACACATATATGTGTATATACACATATGTGCATGTGTGTGTATTTAGTAGTACTTATATATGTACTTATGTAATGCATATAATTTGGAATTTGGTACTACTTTCCTTTTTTGGATTAATTGAGATTAAGAATATCTCTGCTTTTAAATAGGTAAGGAGCATTTAGGAAAATTTTCCCCCTTAACTATAAACATTTTAATCACCACTCAATTTCAAGGAGCAAGCATAATTTATTTAGGGAGCCTAGAATACTGTGAAGTATGTCAAATGCTTTCTGTGTTGTTTGAGGGAGGTAGATAATTTCTTCATTTTGTAACGGAACACTGAGGGTCATAAAGGACTTGGGATTTACACCAACCTGCATTAGAATTCTTGATTTGCTACTAACTTGTGTGGAACTTTGACATTTTGCTTCACATAAATTTCTTAGCTCCATTTACAATGTCGGTGTG